TTCTCCCAAAGTTCTTTGGCTGTCGAAATTCCATGCACATTCACAAAAATATTCTTAGTCAAACCTGTTTCGTATCGCGCTTGCAGCTCTCAAATCCATTTCCTCCCAATCTTCATCACTCATGCTGGACTTTTTAGAACCTCTGCTGGAACCACCACTGGACTCCATTGGACCACTATCACCGCTTAGCTTTTCAAAAGCACCTTCACTCGGTCTTCCCTTCAACGCTTTGTGTAACCCAGATTGTATCAGCACATCATTGACTTGCACTTGCCACAAGCCGAAGTTGATCCTTCCATCAAATTTCTCCACGTCAATCTTCACTGGACTCATAAAGAATGACATATCTGCTTCACACTCCAAGCGAATCTGCAAATAATGAACAATCCACACTATTCACAGAACCGTAACTCGTTTCAAGAAATCTTTTTTGATGCGGAAGTTCAGACAATACTGGAACCACAGAGCATACTCAGAAATTCTACAAACTACAAACCTAAAGTTCTGATACCACTTGATGGGAAAAAAATCTACTACTTCTAATGTAGGAATAAGCAGAAAATAATTGAGAAATTTTTTAAAAAAATAATAAAATAAAGAAATACAAAAATTAACGTGGAAAAACTCCAAACCGGAGAAAAAACCACGACCCACAAGGGAAAATCCACCATGTGAAAAATTATTACAATCACACAGATTTCTCTCCCCAACCCCAATTACACAAAACAGTCTTTCAAAGCAAATATCGCTCAGTTAACTAGAGTTGGAATACCAAGCTTTAAAGTATTTCAATTGAGATGATTAAAACTCAAGCCCATGAGCTCCTTTTATAGTAGTTGGAACACTCCTCCTCCTTGTACTTTTCCGATGTGGGACACTTCTAGCACATGGAAACCATCCTTTATTCTTCTAATGTGGAACAACTTCCATTCCAATATTTTGCCAAAATCCAACATCTGTCTCACCTATTATACTAAAAAAACAAACAACTTAAACTAATTTTATTTATCACCTACCTAACTAATAATTATTGAGTCCAGACAATTTTACAACTGGAGTAGGGGAAAGAAGAAGGCTAAATAATGCTGCTACATTTTTAGAAAAGGAATTTATAACCTATATTCCAAGCTTACATCATCTTGTCTCTTTCTCATATTGATTAGGAAAGAGAGAGATAGGAACACGAGCAGGCAAAACTATCACTTCATAGTTAATTTAGAATAATACTTGGACGTTAAATCATCAACACTCACTACCATTAAATTTTTTTATTAAAAAATGAGAGAAAATGAAGAAATATGGATAACTATTTAAGCGGCTTTCAACATCAAAATAAACACCGACCAATCAACACTCAAATATTCAAATATTGAAATATTGTTGGTTAAAAAATACATCCAGTTCCTAAATTTTAAATTGTAATGATTTGGTCATTGTATTTTTAATTTGATAACAATTTAGGCCATAAATTTTAGTATATGATAATTTAGTTGGTGTAATTTAAAGTTTATAATGATTTTGTCTCTACCATGAAATTTTTTCTCAAATTTCTTATATATGTAAGTTGATCAAATCAATGAGCAACAAAATGTGTTTATAAATTATAAAAACTAAATCGTTATAGGATAAAAAAAAATTAACTTAATTTTGATGAGATTTTTTATAATATGGACTAAATTGCTACAAATTTTAAACTATAGAGACTAAATTATTACAAATTTAAAAGTACAATGACTAAAAATAATTATAATGAAAATTCAAAAACTAAATCCTTAAAAATAGATCAAATATTGTTTGTTAATGTAATTGAGAGAGGCTTGGAATGGGCAGAGTGCCACGTGTGAAAATAGTATTTGCCTGTTATACAAAGATGGGTGCCCACCTTGTACTCCTATCCATAAGCTAGGAGTCAAATTCAAATTAGACATGTGGTGACGTGGCAAAGGGAGGGCCAAGATTTGAAGGTCCCATAAGTGGAGGAATCTAGGCCACTTATTTTAGTGGTTCATAAATTTTTGCAGACTGGACTATGGCCCACACCTCCTAATCATGTCTGCTGGCAGCCCATATCCATTATCCATCCATCCAATTGGATCTTATACCTCCGCTTTTGCCTTCTAGTTGCAGCAAGAATATTCCACACGTACTCGACATTTCTATAACATTTTTTTAGAGTGCTATGTGGAGATGATGATTTCAACTTATGACTATCTCGTTGGATATAAGTACTTTAACCTGTCGTTTGAATATTCCACACGTCGATGTTTGGTCAGCATTTCGTACTTTGGATTTTAATACTATTTTTGTATTTTTCTTTCTACTATAGTTTATTATAGTATCTGTACTTTCAAAATATTCATTTGATCCATGTACTTTCAAAATATTCATTTGATCCATATACTTTCAACTTTTATTCATTTTAGTCGTGGTATGTTTTGGTCCATATTTGCAAAATTTTAACATAATAAAACTATTTAATATAAATTTATGATTGCATTTCAAGAAATTTGCTATTACTTTTTTTTTTAATATAGCAATATATGAAGGTAGGGATTCGAACTTACGACCTTTTGGTTTGATAAAGTCAGGTTGTCACATTCAAGAATTTTATGTTGGATTTTGGCAAAATATTAGAAAAATGAATTGTCCCATATCGGAAAGGTATAAGTAAAGAGTGCGCTCAAGTACTATAAAAGATGCTCATGACCTTGGGTTTAAAATGGGTGAAAAGCTTATAAGTTAAATTTTATGAATTTTTATAAATTTTCTTGATTAACTTAAATAAAAAAATAAATAAAGTACAAATTCTTATCATTGGTGTTCCTTTCAAATATTAACATTATCCTCGTTTTCTCCTTTGGTATAATGTTCCTTTACAATAAAAATTATGGCTAGGGAGAAAGAGAAGAAGAATAATAGAGATGCTTATTGAATTTAAAAGAAAAGTGACAATTTTATTATCCAATACTATTCTATTCGGAAAATGGTTTTAGTAAAACTTATTTAATTACTAAAAATTAAGTTTTAGTAATTGATAAAAATTATGTTCTGAATATAATTAAGTGTTTACAACACAATTTTATTTAGATATGATAACTAAATACACATACAATATAGATCTAAATAAGTACAACAAATAAAAATTAACTTAAACATCCCTTTCAAATTTGTAATAAACAAAATATAGAATGGATCTAAAAATTTAGTTGAGTAAACAAAAATTTAATTAAATATATAGAATCTAAAATACTTGAATACAAAAAATTTTGCATTAAGTTCAAAAAAATTTTGGATTTAATTATAATTAATTATGAAATTCTAAATGACTTGAGAATTTTAAAGCTTTTCAACATTTCAATTCTCCACTACTATAGAAAATTACACAATTTTTTCTCATCAACTATTTGAGTTTCATTATATTTTATTCTATTAAGTGATAGAGCAGTATTTTTCTAGTAAGAAGTAAATCTATTTTTAGAAAGTTAAGTATAGACGCATTTTTTCTTCTGACAGTTATTTTTTTTTTTTGTTGAGTACAATACGTGGATGGAGATGGAACTCACAACCCTCAGTTGGAGATATATGCCAATTACACAAGTAATATGTTTATTAAATTACAATATTATATTTTTGTAAATTTAGATTTGTTAAATTATTAATTCAGCACCCATCCCTGTAGCCACTTTTATGGAAGAGATTACCGACACATTTTCTACAAGTTCACTTTGATTATGATCTATAGATGTTATGGTTTAACCAAATTGTCGAATTCAACTATTTTAATAATTTGGGTGCTGTGGAAAGGTGTGCAAATTGAAGTCAAGCTGGGAGACTTCTCATTTGTGGGTCAAGATAATGTATTGAATAATCGTTCCAAAGGATAATTTAGGAAATGAATTTGAGGCCGAGATTGAACATACATGTCACAATATATTTTACCATTTAGTTTATTAAAAATGTAATTAATTTTAATCTAACATTTATTTAATTATAAATAGCATAAACCAAAAATATATATTAGGTGCATATGGTAATAAAACTTATATAAAATAAGAAATTAGAGAAAGTAAAATAGACTCACGTGAATGGGCACTCAATCTCTCCCACGTCAGTCAATGATTAAAACTTTAGGCTGATTGGTCCCCATCCATATAATTCCCCGCTTTATTATTATTATTATTATTTTTAATTTGTGGCTTCAAATTTTCCTTTCAAATTAAATTTTAAATTTTCAAATTTTTTAAGAGATTTTTTAAAATTAAAACTTAAATTCAAGGTTTCAAAATAAATACTACCCGCAGCAACTACCAATAAAAATTTCATAAATTTTAAATCTTTTAAAATAAAAATATCTATTATTTTACATTTCTCTTTCATATTGGTTAAAAAATTTATTGACGGTCAACAAACAAAAATAGCTGATGACCAAATAAAAATTTGACATATTTTTACGTTTTTGGTTTTCGTTTCATTCACTCAATCAAATGGATTCAATTATATACATAATTTGCACAATTTCATAAAAAAGTGATAAAAACTTTACTAAATACATTATTTCATGTTATAAACTCATTTCATTTTTGTTAAAATTAAAATATGAAAAATATAATATAGTAGAAATTATACAACAATGTAAAATAATAATTATACAAAATTTATAACAAAAATGTTGATAATTTAATTAACACGATTTTAGATAAACTAAATATTAGTTGGTAACTACTATCAGTATATAAACATATTACTTCATATTCAATTTTTAAATCTGCTACCAACGCATATCAAAAAAACAAAACAAAAATACTCTGATTAAATCCATCATTGTTTTCCAATTTTGTTTTCTAATCACTAACCTAACCAAACCAATGGCCTGGATCTCTAAAGGTTATATTTGACTATTAAGCAGTTAACTATTTTTCTTTCAAAATTTGATTTTATATTTTTGATATTTTATATTTATATTTATAAGGTTAGCATTATTTATCTATTATTTAGGCCATCTCCCCCATCTTTCTTTGAAAGTTGAAACCCAACCTTGCCCCTTCTCTCTCCCTCGCCGCCGGAACCGGTGACTCCCTGCGACGGCGCCTCGAATTTGCGACGCCAATCGGACCCACGCGACGGCCGACGGCACTCGAGCAGCGGCGGCGCAGTACCAACAAACGCCTCATGCACGCAGATCTGCGACGGCGACAGTTACCACGCGGCGGCGACCGGTGACGGCGCAGATCTGCACCATTCGGGACATCCGAGGCTGAGACCTGCAACACCCACCTTTGGATCTGCGAAGCCACGCTCCGTTGGTCTTAGATTGGGCGCCTAGGCGCTGGTGGACCCACATCTGTAGCGCGGTAATTGCTTATTTAAACCCCTAATTTTATTCAATTAAGATTTCTAAATTGAGTCTCTCTTTGAGTTCTGAGTATGAGTATAAATGGTCGAGGTTCAAGTGGAAGTATTATGACATGTATCGTAAGGAAAATATTTGCCTCTTCAGCGACGAGGAACATTAGTTGTGAAACAACTAAGAGAGATCAATGCAAAAAAAATAGAAACGGTAATCAGATCGTGTAGAATATCTTCTAGTATTTGTGATAGATTATAGGTTGCTTGTTTGTGCGACTCCTCACCCCAGTAGATTTTGCAGGTAATTATGACACCTTTGAGCTTAGTGACGGCGCAACTAGAAAAACCATTTAGAAAGTGTTTGGACTTTGGAGCATGCGTTGGGCTTAGAGTGCGATTGGGCTTATGACGCTCCAGAAGCCCAGCCCATGTTTGGGACAAAGGTCGGCAAAACTATGGGCCCACATAGGCCTTAAATAGTCAACATTTTTTAAGCCCATAACCCTATTCCATCCTCTCTCTTTTTCTTTCTTTCCTCTCTCTTTTTTTTTTATATCTTAAAAATAAAAAATCTTTCCTCTCTATATCTCTTCTTTCAATTTTCATTGAACATAATTATTGAAGAGATTTATAAAAATTCACAACCTGACAATTCAAAATTTTTAAGACAAAAATCTTAGCCTTTTACTTTATAATTATATATATTTTACGATTACATTAAGAGATATTTTAGATGAACTTTGAAAAGATGTATATATTTTAAAAGGACAAATATTTGAAAGTAAATAATTAAAAGAAACAGTTAAACAAGTTAGGTTTCAACCATTAATTTAGTACCATTAAGTACTGACTTAAATTTAATCATAATTTCCTAAAAAAAATCAGTGGATTGAAAAACAATCTACATCAAAGTTCAAAAATAAAAATAAAAAGAAAAAAAAGGAGGATAGACTTAAAAAAAGTTTTCATCCCATCCCACTAATTGATCCAATATACATGTTTAAATGAATTAAATATTGTTATTCACTTTTAAGTAGAAAAATAAAAATTATCATTAAAAAGAATTAAAAAGATATATAGTAGACTTCATACATAACCCATGCTTCCTAAACTTAGATTCTTAAGTTTTCTTAAACCCATTTTATCTAAACCTAGACCTCAAACTATTGCTTACACTTTAAACACAATTTTTAACTCAAAGCCTACCTAAACCTTCTAATTAAACCCTGCATCCGTGCTTAAACTTTGGTGTTTCCATCTTAACTTATTACGTCTCACTAATTTTGACTTTGAATTTGTTGGATTCTGATACCATGTCAATATTCATGGTTCTATCTTAAAATTAATTAGAAGGGTAGTCCATATATTTTATAAACCTTATTAAGCCCCTTCATTTTTTTGATATGGGATCGATATGGGATAGGAAAAGTGAAGTGAGGTGATTCTTTATTTCTTTTGATTAGTTGATCAACTAGCATTGTGAGTTGAGGTTTATTATCGAAAGACAGAGAGATAATTTGTTGATGGCTTCTTGTTTGCGAACAGAACTCAATTCGAGCATGACTTCTTCTATCAGCAGGCTCTCCACTGCCATGGAGAGAACGGGACAATGGTATGCCTTGTTAAAAGATTCTTTTGGATTCAGCTATGATATAACACCATATATGTTTTGTGTTTGAGCTCTGGTAATATTTCCTCATAACTCAACTCCATTTTTTTCTAAATTATTTTTGATTCAGGATTTTTTCTCAAGACATCCCCACCGATGTAGTGGTTGTAGTGGGCGAAGCCCATTTTTCTGTTCACAAGGTACCAAAAAACAAAATCAACTGTTTGTCTCATATTTATATATCCATGATCTTCCAAGTCAATGTAGTAACAATTATGCATGGAAATACAGTTCATGTTGGTGGCAAAGAGCAACTACATCCGAAAACTGATAATGGAATCGACGGAAGCGGACCTGACGCGGATCGATCTGACGGACATTCCGGGCGGCGCGGAGATATTCGAGAAGGCGGCGAAGTTCTGCTACGGCGTGAACTTCGAGATCACGGTGCACAACGTGGCAGCTCTCCGGTGTGCGGCAGAATATCTGCAGATGACGGACAAGTACTGCGAGCACAACCTGGCCGGCCGGACTGAAGATTTCCTGTCGCAGGTGGCTCTCTCCAGCCTCTCCGGCGCCATTGTTGTGCTCAAGTCTTGCCACCATCTCCTCCCCATGGCCCAAGATCTTTACATTGTCCAAAGATGCGTAGACATTATCAGTTCCAAGGTACCCTAATCCATTAATTACTTCATTTTCTTTTACTATTTTTTTTAAGACTGTTTATATCTTTAAAATAATCATTTTGGTCCATATGCTCTCGACTTTAGTTCACTTTAATTTCTATACTTTCAAAATATTACTTCATTTTTTTTTTTGTCAAAATGATCATAGTTAAACGGTGATCGACATATACAGATTAAAAAGATAAATTTTCAGTACATGGATCAAAATCAACATTTTAAAACCAAAATAGTATTTTATTTATTATTATTATATTTTTGAGGCACAATCCATATAAATTTGTGTTAAAATTTGGCTAAAAATATAACTTTTAAAAACTACATATATCAAAATTACTTAAGAGTAAAATGATCCAAAATTAAAATTACAGCTAACAAAATTAACATTGAATCACGATTGATTGAAAGTAAAAGAATAAAATAGTATTTTAATCTGATTCTGATGGGAATTATGAATGGAAAGCTTAGGCCTGCAACGAGGCGAACTATCCAAGCCGGTCGCCGGCGAATTGGTGGACGGAGGAGCTCTGCATCATCGACATCGCCTTCTTCGCCAAAATCATCTCCGCAATGAAATCCCGCGCCGCCAAAACCCCAACCCTCGCCGCCGCTCTCACCACCT